GCTGGCAAAGAACATTAATAACAGTGGACTGACAGACGAACATATAAATCTGTCTTGGAAAAAGTACAATCAGAATGCTTCTTAAAATCTAGGATGGTGAGACTTCTTCTCATGTACTATGGACATATTATCAGGAGGATCCAGTCCCTGGAGGAGGACATCATGCTTGGTAAAGCAGAGAGTTACTGAAAAGAGGAAGACTCTAATGAGGTGGATTAACACTGGCTACAATAATGGGCTGAAATATAACAATTGTGAGGATGGCACAGGACTAGGCAGTGTCTTATTCTGTTGCATATGCTGACTCAATGATACCTAGTAACAACAATTTCTGATATTGCCAGTATTATTTCTCTCCCTGTACTTAGTTTGGATATACAATACTTCTTCCTAATTTTAAAAGTTGTATGCTTAACTCAATTTTCATTTCTTTTGTATGATGAACCTTAATGCTATGAACTTTTCATTAAAAAATCCTAAATTTTTGATATGCAGTGTGTTCATTATTGCACAGTACTAAACTTTTTTCTACTTTTTGTGAGAAATGTTTTCAATACCAACAAACGGTCAAGAAATCCAATCAGTACTTATTTTAGTGATAGTGAGTTATTCTTTATTCGATTTTGCATAATTGGATGTCCAACCCAGTAGACACAGGCAGATGCGCCACTGGCCACCCTGCAAATACTATCTCGAAAAAGCCCCTCCTCCAGTTCTGCAGTCTAGCCTGAATGGCTCCCATGGTCTTAATGACTGCATTTTTATTTAAAGATCCTAGTCCTAGAACAGAGTTATTTCCCCCCTTACCCCAATTCATCCTGCTCACATAACCCTGGCTATGAATCAATAATCTATGTCTGGTCTAACATTGCATGTGCCCTTTAACCCTGAAGATGGACCATCTTGAGAATTTCTCACAATTTTCATCTTGAATTTTTTTCTTTATCTCATGAATATTTAGGTGTTTCCTAAATAAAAACAAATGGAGTTACCTAGTTTTGTTTGTTGTTTAGTGCCATTGAGTGGGTTCCAACTCATAGTGACCCTTTACAGGATTTCTAAAAGTGGCTGATGAGTTTGAATCACTTGCTGTGCATTTAGCAGCCCTGAACTTATCCTACAGTGCCACACCAGGACGCCTAGTTCTGTTTGGAGGGGAATATTTATTCCATTTTAATTAAATTGAGGTCAGAAAAATGTGTCTCTATGTGTGTTTAAATGCCAGTCATTTGAAATTTGTTGTGATCTGGTTCCTGGATGGTGCAAATGGTTAGTACTTGTTTGCTAACTAAAAGGTTGATGGTTTGAGTCCACCCAGAGGCACAAGATCTAATTCCAAAAAATTATCCATTGAAAACCTTATGGAGAGGAGTCTCTGCAATATATAAGACTATAGGTGGAAGCCTGAACCACATCCAGATCTCCAGAGATGGGAATTTTCCACTTGAAAGGATGAGCAGACCAGTCTGGAGTGGCTAGAAGAACAGAAGATACTTCTTGAAAGAAAGACCTACAGGAAAAAAACAATAAAGGCACACTGACTGTTACTACAAGAACAAACAAGTTGCTTGCCCAGGAAGCATCAAGGCAAGTGGTCGGCTCCCCTCAGGGCAAACCCCCTTCCAAGACTAAGACTCAATGGGAATACACGCTCTGATTGGTGACCACGCTCAACACCGATAAGGGGAAGTGAGGGAAAAACATCAATGAAGCGGTGAGCTAAGCCCTACAATGTTCAATAGACTTCTGTGAACCTGGGTGGAGACTTGGTCAGCCAGCAGTGTGGCAAGACCAGGCGACTCTTGGGCCCAGAGTCAGTGACATAGCCACAGATGACTAGAGTAGAGAGTGAAGTGTCCAGCTGATAAGAAGAGAGGGCATATGCATAAGAACATCCATACTTGCAGATAATACCCACTTGACCTGTCTTCAATGACTGGATGATCAGAGCTCAACCAGAAGAAGAAAGAAGAGGAAAAAAAAAAGAGTAATCTGATACAATTTGGTGAACTTGACCTACACCTATGGATGCAGTAGCTCAAAAGAGGGAACAAATCCTTACAGCAAGAACCATTCCCACCCCCTCCATATACAGAGTAGACAGGGATGGACAACTTGGACATTGGCTACCCAAAATGAAGGGGCAGAAAGGCAAGAAGTGACTGGCTTACAAACTTTCAAGAGGGAACCTAGATCCAGAGGGCCTGGAGGAAGGTAGAATCTCCAGTGAGTAGTATCCAATCTGTCTAGGCGGGGCTGATGAAATGAAATGCAGATGGGTCTCTTGTGATACAATAGTGAATAATTGTTATCAGGACTGATGGTGAGGGTTGGAAATGTAAAGGTAGACGTTTTATAGCAAGGAGGGGAGTGATTAACTTTCAAGTCTAGGAGCTGAGGTTCCTAGGATCATCAACAGAGAAGAGCAGAGAGTGGGACCCTACCCAGAGAAGCAATGATGCCTGAGATGGAGGCAGAGACGATGACGTGGAGTGATGGAGCAGCTGGGGACTCTAGATCCAGAGAGGGAGAGGGACTGTGTGCTGAAGACCGGGGGTGGGGGGTGGAGGGCATAAGCAGGAACTGGCTTGAAGGAAACTGGTTTGGGTTTTGTTTTTGTCACTTGTGTGATCAGTATATGTAAATATTCCATGAATGCTTAAGAAGAATATGTATTCAGCAGTGTTCATTAAAATATACTTACTAATTTTTTTTTTAATGTTTGAATTCTTTAGCTGCTTCATATATAAACTCTTAAAAGATGTATGTTAAAACCTTCAACTAGGATGGTAGACTTGTTAATCCTTTGTAATTCTTACAAGTTTTCCCTTATGTGGTTAATAGGTGGATATATCCTAGAATTTTCATTTATTCCTAGTGAATTAACTTTTTATTCTGATTAGATAAATTCTTTTAAGAAACATGTCCTTGGTTAGCTCCCCCAATAATAGTGTATCCAGTTTTGAGTCACAGTTTTATTTCTTCTTCATTTAGATGGGTCTTCATGATAGCATGGATCTACCCACCTAAATAAAATGGAGTTGGTTTATTCATTAAGTCTCAAATGAGGACCCTACAAATGAGGAAGTTTAAAAATGAGCTAAGATAACCTTATGGTCCTAAAAGGAGAACAGGACAAAGAGAATAGGACAATCTTAAACCCACCCAGATACTTCTCTCAGGTATTAAGAAGCTGAGGCCCTAAAGGTAGAATATTTGAGGACTTTTATTGATACATTGTTTCCTTTTCCCAAAGAATGTTATCTTGATGTTAAAACAGATGAAGTGTACATCCAAATGTTGTTGTTGTTGTTAAGTGACATTGAGTCGGTTCTGACCCACTGTGACCCTGTATAGGGTTTCCGAGGCTGCAAATCTTTATGGGAGCAGAAAGCCTCATCTTTCTCCCGCGGAGCGGCTGGTAGTTTCGAACTGCTGACCTTAAGGTTCGCAGCCCGATTCGTAACCACTACGCTTCCAGAGCTCCTATATAATGTGCCTGCTCTTCATAATGGACAGGACAGTCTTGAGAAATTATTCTCTCCGTCCTCCAGACTGCTGGCTTTCTGCTGATAAAGCTTGGATCGGATCTTTCCGCGTCTCTGTGATTGACTACAGTGACGGGTGCTAAACCCTCGTTTTGATTTGGCAACATTCACAGGTTTCTTTATTTCAAATCTTTTTGAAGTTTTACCTCTCTGGTAGTGTACTTCATGTGAACAGCAATGAAATTGCATCAGGATAAAGAAAGTTATAATCATTTCAACCTAATAAGGACTGCTTTTTCCAATTGCTGGGAATCAGCATCTTTAGTATCATCAGCTAGGGTTATTTAGGAAGAGTTCATCTGAAGAACTTGGGAATGGATTAGAATTCCTTTTAGGGTGTTCAGGATTGGGCCCTAACTTTAAAAAATGAACTGTAGTTTAATATCATAATACACGACAGTTGACATCACCTTTAACTCTGAGATCCTTTTCTCATTTGGTGGAGACCCCTGGGCTACATGTGTTCTATACGACTTAATTTCTTTGGTTATTAAAGAATGGAGGCGATGGACTCTTGCACCAAATGGGGTCAAGAAGCACTGAAACTGAGATTCAGAAATACCAGACATTATCTCTTTAACTGGAAAGATGTATAACAAAGATGAAGCTCACCTATTGGTTTAACCATCTTTTGCCATGAACACAGATAGAAAGAAGGAAGTAGAATGTATAAAGGAACAGGGAAGAGATGACACAGGACCACAGGGAGAGAGGGAAATTGTCCTGGGTTGTAATGTCAATTCATTTCTTAGTTTCAGTTTTTTCTGAGACCCAGCTGTATTTCTGACCCTTATGTTATTTAAAAGCCCTGGAGGTGTAAGGGGGTTAACTCACTGAGCTAGCTGCCAACCACAAGGTCAGCAGTTTGAATCCACCAGCAGCTCTGTGGGAGAAAGATGAGGCTTTCTACTACCATAAAGATTCCCAGTCTCAGAAACACTAAATATGGTTGCTATGAGTTGGAATCAACTCAATGGCAGTGAGTTTATTTTTTATGAACTTTTGCAATAAACTCCCCTTTTTCAGCTTAAGCTAATTTGAATGGGTTTCTGTCATTGCTCATCTGAATCAGAATTGTGTACCCTGAATACAGAGCAGTCATCAGAGCAGTTTTGGAGCGGTCCCAGCACTCTGGTTCACAGTATCTGAAATCCCTGAAGGGTTTCTCTATAAGGAACAAGTCTCAAGTATAGACTAAGCGTTGGATCATGGGATTTCAATAACTGGCCACCAGTGGATGGCACTTTTAATCTTATGTGTTCAAAGTAGAAATCATAAGGAATTTTAGCATAAGCTAGATTCATGTGAAATAGGTTTATTGAAACTTAAAGAAAGTGAACATAAACGGTCGAAAGCATTTCAGAATGACATGGTAACCATTAGAACCCATTTGCTACTGTATTGTTGATGTTGTTATGTTTCTGTATGGCATGTACAGAATTTTTTTTTTTTTTAGTTCTCCAATGTTCTTCCACAGAAGGAAATGTTCAGAACCCAGAGTACATTAGCATTGAAGCAGTGTCCTGAGAAAAAGAACAGGCTTGCCCCTGAATCAAATAAAAGAAGAAGCCAACATCAATGTCTTTGCAAAGACTCTTTTCTTTTTCCCCATCTCTCTACCTCTCTTTCTCTCTCACACACACACATAAGCTCTGGATAAAAAGGATAATTATCTTGTGGAAGTACTCAATTCAGAGATGCAGAAAGTTGTTTTTAAGACCTCAGGTTGTACTTTATTTTGTGTTAACTACTCTTTAAATGTCCCAAAATGAACTGATTATTATTATTTTATTGTTGTTAAGTGCCATCAAATCAATTCTGACTCATAGTGACCCTGTATAGGGTTTCTGAGGAGTGGCTAGTGAGTTTGAACCTTGTGGTTAGCAGTCCAGTGCTTATCCTACAGCGCCATACCAGGACTCCATTCTTAGAGCTATTAAAAGTCAATAGATTTTATTGGCATTATCTTTTTATTTGGAGTCCTGGTGTGGTGCTGTAGGATAAGCACTGGGCTGCTACCTGCAAGTATAAGCCTATACAGGGTCGCTATGAGTTGGAACTTACTCGACAACACTTAACAACAACAGTTTTTCTTTAACCATCTTTGTATTCTTTTGAGTAAATCTCAAGTTTACTTCAGATACACCCTTGCAAGCAATAGTCCATCAAGTTTAAGAGCACAGAATTCAGAGTTACACTGCTTAGGATTAACCCGGGCAAGGACTGTGTGGCTTGAAAATTACTTAATTGTTGGATGCCTCAGTTTACTCATCCATAAGGTGGGGCTAACAATAGAATTGTTATGAGGAGCAAATGAATTAACATACTAAAGTGCCAGACACAGACAGAGCTTTTTGCTTATCATGCCCCCTGCGATTCGAGCCCTCTTTGGATGTGCCCAAGGACAGTCTGACAAATCCAAGAGCACGAATTTGGAGTGCACAGTAGGGCTGTTACTCACCTTGCATCTCCTCAGCTGTGTATGTTGGAATCTTTCTGCACATGTTAGCGATGGAGTTTCCAAACTTGCTTAGATCATCTACTTGATTAGGATTAATTGAGTACATCAGACCCTTGGGAGGTGGTCCTCCTGGTCCCTTACCCTGAAGTTGAATAGGGAGAACATAGGGGGAAAGGAAGGTAGAAAATGGATGCCAATTTCAGTGGTTTGTTGAGTACAAGACAAGTGAGCATTGTTTGACTATAATTTTTCCATAATCGAGATGAAGAAGAATCAATTGCAGCTCTGTCTCTTTCAGAATTTCTAAGTGTCCCAAAGGGTTAGAAACCGCAGGATCTTATAAAAGCAGATGCCCCAAGCTAAAGTTATTTTGAAACTTGGATCTCATTCGATCATTTAAGATTCCTTGGGTGGGGCTATGAGAGAATCACCTTCTGAGAACTTAGTTTCTTTTTGCTAACTTGTCAATCCATGAAAGGTATCTGTTTATCAGTTATAATAATAGGAGCTCAGGCTCATATTTTAGAGTTCTCTGGATTCTTCCTTCCCTCCCACCTCAAGTAGTGTTGCCAGATAAAATAGAGGCTGCCCAGCTACATCTGAATTTCAAATAAATGTCAAATTTTCACCTGCATTACACAGGAGATACTTGTACTAAGCAATTACTCATTGTTTACCTGTAATTAACATTTATCTTGCATCCTGTATTGTTATTTGCTAAATTTGACAACCCTAATGGAAACCATTGCTTCTCCAAAGGTCATAGTCTTCTCGAGTCTTGCTTAGCCCCCATAGAGGCAGGTGTGACCAACAGCATTTGAGTGTGATGGAAGCTACCTCCCTTAGACAATTGCTTCTCATTGGCCTCCCTCTCACTCTTCCTTTTTGGGTGCTGCTTACAACCCCAGACTATGATCAAGATGGGTGGAGCAACTGAAACTTTCTTATTATTTACTGTTTTTATTTCATAAGACCACCCCTCACCAAAATTAAAGACTTAAAAAAAAAATTTTTTTTTTTTTTTTTACCTTATTTTCCTTGACCATTGCCTCCAGGGCATGAATGGGGGGTACAACATCCTTGTTTATTCTATGCACAATGCATAGCTTCTTCGCAAAGAGTCGGGTTGCAGCAAAGCCCTGTTAAGGAGATGGTGGGAAGTGAGATGCATGTCCTCCAAGGAGCTGTCCTCATCAGAAATCAGTTCCACCAGCAGAGAGAAATGGAACCCCAACAACAGGATGAAGGGGAATAAGAGCACTGGATATGGTTGTGTTTTGTAAGCAGACTTATTTTGTCAGGGTAGAGAGCAAGATCTTTGAGGGCAAAGACCCAATGTCTAATGTGTTGCCTTACTGCCCAGGTTCTAACATTGTAAGTGTTAAGAATCACTCAATATGTATCTGCTTAGCTGAAGTGAATCTTAGCAAATGCTATCACATCACAATCTTCTTCAGTCCTCACAAAACCTCAAGCAGGAAGGCAATACAGAAGTTCATTTTTTAATTGATCAGTTGCTAAAACCCAATTTAAAAATTGCCTTTTAAAACATGCATTTGTTAAGAAGCTTAAGAGATGGGTCTCCTACCTACCGTTTTTTTTTCTTCTCCCCCTGCCCTTACCAATTAATACTGTCATTTGCATTTCCTTTAGACATTCTGAGTTACAGATGAAATATCAACATCTGTCTTTTCAGAAGGAAATTGAATACCCAGTGAAATGGGGTGAGACTTTGGCGGCAATCATATTGTACGGGCCTTACATTTTTGAACATCTTGGAAGACAGGCCAAGGGATTTGGTATTTGATACAGTTGTCTTGTTGTTATTAAGTGTTGCGAATTGGTTCTAACTCATAGAGACTCGGTATAGGGTTTCTGAGTAGGTGGTGGGTTTGAATTGTTAGCAGTCCAGTGCTTTTCCTACAGCAGCACACTAGGTCTCATAGCTGTCTTCTTGTTGAGTCGGTTCTTACTCATAGTGGCCCTTTATAGGGTTTCTGAGACTGGCTGATGGATTTGAACTGTGGACACTGAGGTTAGCAATCCAATGCTTACCCTATTATTGTTAAGTGCCATCGAATCAATTCCAACTCATAGCAACCCTGTGTAGGGTTTCCAAGGAGCAGCTGGTGATTTTGAACTGCCGACCTTGTGGTTCACAGTCCAGTGCTGATCCTACAGCACCACACCAGGAATCCAATCCTATGGATCCTAATAGCCACTAACTTGATTTGAAGCTTAACTGTCTGTAGTAAACTTATTAACAGCAGTTGTATCTAAGGAATGAAATAATGAGCAAACAGGACCCCTTTAATCTGTTTTAACTGTGTGTAGTTGGAATTTATCTTAGTTTTATTTTTTTATGGTTTGCATGAATTTTTTTTTTTTTAGGTTAATAAAGAAACACACTGTTTTTAGAGAATAGAAATTGTGTGTTGGTTACAACCTACATTTCTATAGTCCCAGAGGGTATTCCAGGAGTTCCAGCCATTGTTGTTGTCCACGTTGGCCATGTTATGTTCATTATTGACACTGATTGACTGCTGCCCACTACCAGCATTGCTGTTGTCACCGTTGACGTTGATGTTCTGCGATTGATAAGAAGTTGAGAATGATTTAATACCACATTTCTCTGCAAATGTGTTTTGGTAATAAACGTTCAGACATGCGACTTACGTAATCAGCAAGGGCAGGAGCTAGAAAGACTCCGAGAAGGCCGGCAAAGAAAATCTGCAATCACAAAGCAAGTTGGCTTATTGTTATATGACAAAATAATCTCACTTCTACTTCTTCTAGCAATGCTTATGAAAAATATTTACTAATTTTGTGCTCTGTTGAGTAGTTTGCCTTTTCTTATTCTTCATTTTTAACTTTTTTTTTTTAACCATGGAAAGTTTTAATGATAATATAGAATTATAAATATGAATTATACTGGTGTGGCACCGTAGGATAAGAACTTGACCTCAAGTCAGTTTGAACCTCAAGGTCAGTGGTTCAAACTCACCAGCCACTCTTTGGAAACATTATACAGGGTCACTCTGAATAAGAACCAACTCAACAGCACTTAACAACAACAATGTGCTACATAATTTTGGAGTAGCGGTACAAATGATTAATAAGGTTGGACTACTATTTTACTCAGAGTGCCTGGTGATCTACTGCTGAAAAATCCACCATTCAAAGCCCTATGGAGAGCAGTTCTATTCTGACAAACATGGAATTGCCACGAATGAGAATCAACTCAATGACAAATGGGCTATATGGTTTAAAAAAATTTTTTTTTTTTTATGTAAGCCTTATAAAAAACTGGTGAAGCCTCAGTATAGTAAAAAATAAATTTGAAATGAGTAGCATACATTATATGAAAATAGTTGTAAGTTTTGAAAATGACATCTGAAAATGATTTGCTTATTTTCCTATATGTTCCAGGATGCTTCCCTCCCCTTGACAACATTATTGCTGTTGTTATGTGCCGACTCACAGCGACCCTGTACAGGGTTTCCAAGGCTGTAAGTCTTTATGGGAGCAGAACGCCTCATCTTTCTCCTGCGGAACAGTTGGTAATTTCGAACTGCTGACCTTGAGGTTCACAGCCCGACTCGTAACCACTACGCTACCAGAGCATACTTCAGGTGATTTCAGAAGCAGGGTTCAAGGCAAACTTTTCTACTCAGGAGATCTATTTTCCAGCATAGAATGTGACAGTACAAGTCTTCATCATTTGTTTTGTTAATAAGCTTTTTATTTTGCCTGACCATACTCAGGAATTTTGTTCAAAAGAGGAATTCAGGAAGGTGGGAAAGTATCTGGCACTTTCTACGACTTTGGGACTCCTTTTTCTTTGCCAAGACCTGAATCATGAGATCGGGAAATTAAGTTGATTAAGGGCAGCCTGGCCTAAAATGCTCAGACAGCTGTCTACCACTAGCCCTCTCTTAATCACACATACATGACCACCATTGTACAGTCCATTACAAGGAACTCTGGTGCCGTAGTGGTTACGAATCAGGCTGCTAATCTCACGGTCAGCAGTTCGAAACTACCAGCTGTTCTGTGGGAGAAAGACGAGGCTCTCTGCTCCCGTTAAGATTTACAGCCTTGGAAACCCTATGCAGGGTCGCTATGAGTTGGAACCAACTCCACGGCACGTAACAACAACAACACAGTCCATTAAGTCTCATAACTACCCTGTAGGTAAGAGTAGAACTCCTCCATACACTGGTAATCTTTATGGGTGCAGACTACCTTCTCTTTATTTTGGTGGCTGGTAGATTTGAACCACTGACCTTTTAGTTAGCAGCACAATACTTAACCCATTGTGCAGCAAGGCTCCTTATCCTTCCCTATAGAGGTGCTTGGAAATGCCACATTTCCATGAATAGAAAACAGAGAGAGTGTTTAAAAAATGTTCGCATTATAGTGATATTGCCTTATGAAGCAGACCTATCTCAGAATAACAGTCTTCCCCTCTATAGTAATAAATTCAAAAGGCGGAGTCTACTCACTGTGAGCTTCATCTTGTCTTCACCCAAGCAGTGGAGCAGAGGAGAAGGCAGGCATGGACTTGGGATGGAGAGCCTCTGGTATTTGTACTTGTTCTGCTTTACTCAAGCTAGGTGGGACAAGGTGGGGTCACAGACTTATCCTTCTTCCCCGTATCTTGCCATGACACAGCATATCAGGAAGTCTTCCGGAATATCCACCTGGTTAGCAAGGCACTTTGACATGGAATCATTCTGACTCATCATCTGTTGAAGGTGAAGGTATCACAATGTGATTGATGATATGCTTTATGATAACTTCTGGTCCAGTTGCAGCTGTGGGTGTGAGTATTTTATACCTGATTTTACACAGATTCTGAGAAAGAATAATCCCTAAAATCAAACAAGACTTAGATGAAAAATCATGTACACACTGGACCTGGCAGATAGCAGCTCCTGGAAAAATATGGGGAGGGTTCCCTCTTCTTACCTTTACCTGAATCCATTATAATGGGTTTGCTTAGACTAAACATGCTCTATTACCTAAAAACAAACAAATAAAGCCACTGTTGCCACGGAGTCAGTTCTGACTCATGGAGAGCCCATACGCCTATCTGTGTCAGAATAGAATTGTGCTCCACAGGGTTTTCAATGGCTGATGTTTTGGAAGTAGATCATCAGACATTTCTTCTAAGGTGCGCTGAGAGGACTTGAACTTCCAATCTTTTGGATAGCAGCTGAGCATGTTAAACATCTGCACCACCCAGGGGCTTTGTTACTTATTCCCAAAAAACTTATTCCCTTTTCTGTAGTTCTGAGTTCTCTCAAAGGTAGCACCATACTTCAATTAGCAATGTGGGTGCTGTGTTTAACTTTTTTGTTTTATCCCATATCCTGTTAGTTACAAAGTTACGAACACTTGTTTTTTCATCTCTGAATGCCTATCAACTATTGCCATTTCCACAGTTTTTCTCACCTGAACTTTTACAAAAGTTGTGCAATTGATCCTTCTGGTTACCAGTCTTATACATTCCAGTGCATTTTCTCTGCTTTCTCTAGGGCTGTCTTTCTGAAGTACACATATAAACTTTATCGTGTAGGCTGCTTAGAAACTTTCACTGGCAGCCTACAAGACAAAGTTCAAACTCACTAGAATGGCATCCCAAATCCTTTGTAATAAGGTTTCCAAACCTCCCCAGCTGTATCTGCCACTACATCGAGCCATGCATCAATGTGTCCTCTCAAACTGTATGAACTTGGCCAGCTCATAATTGTATTATGTAATTACCCTTCATTTTGCAATCTGATGTAATTATTCTATGTGTTGTAAATACTAATCTTGATGAGACAAGATTAGAGGCAGTTACATTAATGAGGCAGAATGCATTCTACAGGGGTTCCGTTGTATTTTGAGTCAATCTCTTTTCAGACAGGAAAGAGATTAAACAAGTGAGCTGAGATCAGAGGGACCTGACTATGACCAGGCAAGAAGAGCTGGGAGTTCTCTGGACCTCAGTCCAGGTGCTGAAAAGCCCTTAGACCCAGGATAAGATGGATTCTATGACACCTGGAGATCTTCAAGGATTGCTGAATCTACAGACGTTGAAAAGAGACCACGGCTTTCCTCCAGAGTATAACAGAAAGCTTTCCCCTAGAGCAGGCAGCCTGAATTTGGAATTCTAGTACATAGTGAATTATGAGCTGGGCTGCTAACCACAAGATCAGCGGTTTGAACCCACCACCCTCTCCATGGGAGAAAGATAAGACTTTCTGCTCCCGCAAAGATTTACAACCTGGAATACCCTATACAAGGTCATTCTGGTTAGGAACCAACTCGAAAGCACATAACAACAACAAACTGTGAGAATACATTCCTGTTTGTTAAAGCCCTCCACTTGTGGTAGGTATTTCTATGGTAGCAAATCTAGATAGCCAGGACAGAATTTTATACAGTGAGAGGGGTGCTACTCGATCAGATACTTAAAATGGGTAAGTGGCTTTGAAATTGGGTAATGTGTACAAGCTAGAAGAGTTTTTGCAAGTGCCATGGGCTGCCAAAAGAACCAACAGATCTCTGTTGGAAGAAGTGTAGCCAGAGTGCTCCTTGGAGGCCAGGATGGCAAGACTTGATATCTCATTCTTCAGACATATTGTCAGGAGAGACTAGTCACAGTCATTGGAGAAGGATAGCATGTTTGGTAAGGTGGAAGGTCAGAGAAAAAGAGTAAGACCCCCTCCAGTGAGATAGATTGGCAAAGTGGCAGCATCAATGGGCTCGAGCATGGCAACAATTGTGAGGTTGGCTCAGGATCGGGCAGTGTTTTGTTCTGTTGTGCATAGGGTCACTATGAGTTAATACCGACTTGAGGGCACTTAACAACAACAACTAGTAAAAGCCCACCACTTATCTGTCACTTTGTCATGCTGTAGTGGCTTATGTATTGCCAGGGTGTTGGAAGCAATGCTACTGATGTTTTAAAGACCAGCAGGGTCAACCATGGTACACAGGTTTCAGTGGAGTTTATGGACTAATACAGATTAAGAAGAAGGAGACACAGACCACTTCTGAATGGTTAGTCTTTGAAAACCTTATGAATAGCAGTGGAAGATATAGTGCCAGAAGGTAAGCCTCTCAAGTTGGAGGGCACCCAAAATATGACTGGAGAAGAGCTGCCTTCTCAAAGTAGAGTAGAATTCAATGATGTGGATGAAGTTAAGCTTTGGGGGCCTTCATTTGCTGATAGAGCACAACTCAGAATGAGAAGCAACAGCTGCAAACATCCCTTAAGAATTGGAATGTAAAATACAGGACGTATGTATCTAGGAAGATTGGAGGTTGTCAAAATGAAATGAAATGAACAAAAGACTAATATCCTAGGCATAAGATGAAATGGACTGTATTGGCCATTTTGAAGCAGACAATCCTATAAATTATTATGTTGGAAATGAGAAAGTGAAGAACAATGCTGTCCATATATCTACAAGTAAGACCAGTAAATATTTGCACACCAACCACTAAAGATGATGAAATTGAAGAACTGTACCAACTTCTTCAGTCTGAAATTGATCACATGTGGAATCAAGGTGATTGGTAATTACTGGTGATTGAAATGAGAAAGTTGAAAACAAAGAGGAAAGACCTGTAGTTGGAAAATAAGGCCTTGGTGATAAAACTGACGCTGGATATCACACAATAGAATTTTGCAAGACCAGTAACTTATTAGTTGCAAATATCTTTTTAAAATGACATAAAAGGTGACTACATACCTGGACCGCCCCAGATGCAATACACAGGAATCAAATTGACTACATCTGTGGGAACAGATGATGGAGAAGCTAAATATCATTAGCCAAAATGAAGCCATGGGCAAACTTTCAAACAGACTTTCCATTACTCATATGTAAGTCCAGAATCAAGCTGAAGAAATTTAAAACAGCTCCACGACAGCCAAAATATGACCTTGAATATATCCTATCTGAATTTAAAGACTACCTCAAGAACAGATTTGGTGTATTACCCACTAACACTAGAAGAATAGAAGAGTTGTGGATGACATCAAGAACATCATACAGGAAGAAAACAAAAGGTCATTAAAAAGAAAAGGAAAGAAAGAAAAGACCAACGTGGATGTCAGAAAAGACTCTGAAAATTGCTCTTGAGCATAAAGAAGCTAAAGCAACGGGAAGAAATGATGAAGTAAAAGAGCTGAACAGAAAATTTCAAAGGGCAGCTTGAGAAGACAAGGTCAAGTAAGATAACAAAATGTGCAAAGACTTGTTAGAAAACAAACTGATGCTGTGCTGTGCCCTCGCTCAACTATCTATCTAAAGCAATTAGAAAACCAAAAGGGAAAAGTATGCTCAACATGCCTCAAACTGAAAGCACTGGGAAAAAAAAAATTCAATTCTAAGCTTTTAATATTGAAGGATTCTATGGTCAAAATATTAAACATCAAAAGAAGATGGAAGGAATACAAAGTCACTGTACCAAAAAGAATTGGTCAATAATGTTCAAACATTTCAAGACGTATCATATGACCAAGAACCAACTTTACTGAAGGAAGAAGTTCAGGCAGCACTTGGTGAAACACAAGGCTCAAAGAATTGACAGAATGCAAATTGAAACCTTTCAACAAACTGCTGCAGTACTTGAGGCACTCACTCATGTATGCCAAGAAATTTGGAAGACATCTACTTGGCCATCTGATTGGAAGAAATCCATATTTGTGCCCATTCAAAAGAAAGGTGACCCAATGGAATGCAGAAATCACTGAACGATATCGTTAATATCACATGCAAGTAAAACTTTGCTGAAGATCATTCAAAAATGACTGTAGCAGTACATCAACAAGGAGCTACCAGAAATTCAAGCTGGATGCAGAAAAGAATGTGGAATGAGGGATATCATTGCTGATGTCAAATAAATCTTGGCTAAAAGTAGTGAATACCAGAGAAAAATGTTTACTTGTGTTTTATTGACTATGCAAATGCATTTGATTGTGGGAATCATAGAAACTATGGATAACATTGTGAAAAATAGATATTCCAGAACACTTTATTGTGCTCATGAGAAATCTGTACATAGACCAAGAGGCTTCAATGAAACATAAGAAGGGGATATAGAATGGTTTTAAATCAGGAAAGATGTGTGCTAGGGTTGCATCTTTTCACCATATTTATTCAATCTGTAAATTGAGCGAATGATCTGAGAAGCTAGATTATATGAGCACGAACATGGCATCAGGGTTGGAAGAAAACTTATTAACAACCTCACTTGCTGAAATCAAAGAGTACTTGGCATAATTACTGATGAAAACCAAAGAATACAGCCTTCAGTATGGATTGCACCTCACAGCTGGACTAATAAATAACATCATGGTTGTTGTTGTTGTTGTTGTTAAGTGCCGTGGAGTCGGTTCCGACTCATAGCGACCCTACACACATCATGGTAAATGAAGAAAATAAAATTCCTCACAGCTGGACTAATAAATAACATCATGGTAAATGAAGAAAAGATTTTGCTTGGATCCACAATCAACAGTATTGGAAGCTGTAGTCAAGAAATCAAATGATGTATTGCATTAGGCAAATCTGCTGCAAAAGACCTCTTTAAACAT